TAATAAGATGGAATTATTTGGTTCAGGGTCAGGAACCAAATAATTCCATCTTATTATTATTGATGTGCAGTGTATATTTTGATTAACACCATAATGCACAAAGATGAGTTCCCAAAAATATTTTGATTAACACCATAATGCACAAAGATGAGTTCCCAAAATTGGGGAAGAAAGTTAGTTTGTCTAACATGATAGGGAGACATGATAAACAGTTGAGAAAAAGTTACGTGAAATGAATTATCATGTGTACATCTAGATCCTCGAATAAAATAATATGAACTTGAAGTTCATAAAAGGATAATTCATTTACAATATTGCAAAGTATGCTGGACGCATTTGCTGACCAAAAGAAAGTAACTATAATCTCACTGCAAATGCTCTTATTAGAATAAGTCCTAGAAGGACAAAGTCTATAGTACGTTTAAAGTCTATAGACTAATCAGTTTCAAATAAAATTCTTGATAAAGAAGATGAGCAAATGATCATAATGATCATAATAAGGAGGCAAGTGATCTAGAAGATCACATGACATAATACTTCATAAAATCTCAAGAGAGGTTCACATACCTGAAAATATAAATGAAGAGATCTCTATATTATGTCTTTATGAAAAAATATTGGAACCGATATAAAATGTTCGTCGACGACATCTATTGTAGCACTAAGTATAGATGAGTACCTCAAGTCTGTCGAATACAGACACAAAAATATTGGCCAAATAAAAGAGACACAGTTCAAATAGAATTGGTTTCATATGTAAGACATATGGTTTTGGACATGTTGTTCAAACACTTGAAGGTATAAAGTCAATAATATGTGCAATCAGTTTTGGATATCTTATTTGTCTAGCATGACTTGAAAACTTGATATGAATCTAATTAAAGCCTATTATATGACTTATATGACTTAACTTTTATGATAATCCTTGAAGGATTAAAATCGCTTAAAGCATATACAATTCTTAGTCCTGAAGTACCATATCCACGTGTTATTTACGCACGTATGTATCTTGATATAACTATAAGCATGATAATGTGATAGCGAGGATTTTCAGGGTGCAACATATTCATTGGAGTTAATATGGCTATTTTATTCATCAAATCTCTACCGACGTCAACCTTCAAGAAGCCAGTGCACAAGATTGGAATGCGAAAGCTCAAGGATGTAAATTGATGCTCTCATTAGGGGGAGTTAATACACATTGTACTCTTTGTTTATCTTGAAAATGGTAATTATAATTATATTTGATTTTGTGATTCTAAAATTACGTGATTAATTTTAATGCTAGTTGTTAGGTGATAGATGCTAAGTATGAGTCAAGAAAATGAGGTAAGAGCTTGAAGACAATATATTATGCAAACCGAATGGCCGTGAATCGGGGCCTTGAGCTGGCCTAGGCTGGGCCTCGAGGTCGAGCTAAAGAGCCTGACTGAGGATGGCGAACGAAGAACTAACAGTTCTGAGGGCCTTGATGATGGCTTTTTATGATCAGTGATGGGTAATAAATGAAGAACAATCAATAAAACACAATAAATTTAAGCAAATAAATCAAAGGAAAGACAATGGAGAATGTTTAAGTTAGAGAGCAGAGAATGTTTTTGTTCTTGTATTGAATATCATATATCTTACAAAATGATAAGGGTCCCTTTTATATAGGAGGGGGAATCCCAACATGGTACATGTATAATTATTACAAAGAAACGTAGCTGATACAACTATTTAATAGTCTGGTACAGACTAGTACTATTCTTGCAGACCTGGTCAGCTCTAATCATGTGCCTTGGTAATTTCCCGCATGTCCATCATAGCCACCGATTTGCACTGCCCCGAGGTTGAGCATAGGGAACCCTCGGGGTCGAACATCGAGCTGTTCCTCGAGCCTCCTGGAGACAGGCTATGGAGCGTCATAATAATCATAAAATCGGACTCTCCGATTTTAGCCGTATACACTCTTTTTCCCTTCAAGGGTTTGTCCCAATGGGTTTTTCTGGTTTTTAATGAGGCAACCAAAAGGCGTATTTGTTAGATATGTGTACTCTTTTTCCTTCTCTAGAATTTTTTTCCCACTAGATTTTATTTTAGTTAAGGTTTTAACGAGGCACATTATCTGTTGAATAGACATTCAAGGGGGAGTGTCATAAATAGAATTCTATTTAAGGTGAATGTCTATATTTTAGAGTGATTTTAGGGATTTTACTTAGTGTCTAAGTCACTCTTTCCCTATAAATAGAGGGGTATTCTATTGTAATTGGCTCCAAATCAATAAGAATTCTCTCTCCCTACTTTTCTCTGTATACTCTTGTTCTTTTATTATTTCATAACAATAATAATTTTTAAGATTTATGATTCTAAATACGCATGATATTTTTGTGGTTATTGACGTATTTAATTTGGAGGATAGGAGACATTTAAATTTAAGTTATTTCTTTGATAATAAATTAAAATTATTTCACAAATACAAAAAATTTACTATTACGTAGTACAAATTTTAACGGGCTGAAAGAAAAGGTGTACATTTTAAAGGGCACAAGTTGAGTAGAAAGGAGACTGAAGTGGCAGGATTTTGTGTTTGCTGTAGACTCGAGGACCACTGATGTGCAGTGGCCGAAACAAATCGGGCCAAACCCAGGAAACAAAAGTCCCAAATTACCAGCTGCCCGTTATTCTTCCACCATCTGTCTTAAGCTAAGCTCAACACCTCAAAACCCAGACCACTCGTCCCAGCTTTGGTGGATCCCACCATAAAACTTTTTTCTTAAACCCCAAAAATTAAGGAATATCGAATAACCTCCTAAAACGCCGTCGTCACTTGGCCCCTCCCAAAACCCTATATGTATATATGTTGTTCCCCGTCCCTCTTTTGGCTCTTGAAAGAGCAATAAATCTCAGCATCTTCTTCTCTTTCTCTAGAAGCTTCTTTTCTGTTCTTTATTCTCCTCTTTCAGCGCGAATAGTTTTCGTTGTTCAATTCCTTTGTCGTACTAAAATTCGAAGCATGAGTCGGACTCAAAAGTCGGCTCCCTCCACCCAAACCTTCAAATTCCTCTACAGTTACGGCGGCAAAATCCTTCCTCGGCGCTCTGACGGCAACCTCCGTCACATCGGCGGCTTAACTAGAGTCCTCTCAGTTGATCGCTCTATTTCATTTTCAGGTCTGTTTATTCATTAGTTAATCTCCTTTATCACTTCTATTTTATTTATTTTCGAATAATATTTTCGTGCCTTTTCTAGAAGCTGATTAAAATTGATTGTTTTGTGCAGAGTTGATGGTGAAATTTGGAGAATTATGTAGATCGTCTATGATATTAAGATGTAAACTGCCGACTGAGGATTTGGATGTTTTAGTATCGATTACCTGTGACGAGGACCTGGCGAATGTGATCGAAGAGTACGATCGAGTTTCGGCATTGACGAATCAAGAGATTAAGATTAGAGCCTTATTATCTCCGATTAATTTGCAGAAGAAGATCTCTCCTCCGTCTTCGCCTATGTCTTCCCTCGATTTTCCGACATCGAACGTGAAGCCTCGTAAAGTCGGCCGTTTCTACTCACCTCCGGCGTATTCGGCGGCGCATAGATGTTCCTCACCAGCTTTGGGTTATCCGGTAGGGATACCCAGTGACGGCCAGGAACTTCACTATCCTTTTTATGGACACGGAAGCATTAGGCCTCTGTATTACTTTGCTCCTCACCATTACCAATAGATCAACAAAAATACACAGAGAGAGAGAGAAGTTATAATATTTTTCTTGGGAGATATCAGAGTTGTACATGGACGAAATGAATCTCCTTCACACAGAAAAAGGACAGTAAAAAAAATATTACCTTGTTACATAAAAAATTTACGGATTAACAAAAAGACAGATTCAACTTTCCTGGTGCGTGAATTAGATTGTACATTGTTTGAAATTTTGCCGTTTATTTAATTTAGAGATGGATTTAAAATTCGAGATGAAGTTATTAAAATTCTGTGGATTTTGAAAATGACCCCTGCTTGAATTTGGACGCCGTTACGGTTCCTTTGCCATTCTCCATCATAGGTTTCGCTAGTCGCTTAGTTGTTTTGGGCCGGCTGCCTGCGTCCGTATGGACCATTCATTTCTGGGTCCACTGGTTATCTGGGTTTTTTTTTTTTTTTTTGGGATAAATACATACGTAATTATCTATTGGGGTTGTACCAAGTGCCAGTTGCACCCCTTAAAAATAAGAAAATCAGTGGCTTACACGCACCCCTTGTGCCAAGTCATTTTTTTCATTATTTTTATTTTTATCATTATTTTAATTTTATGTTTGTATATTTTTGCTTCTTTGTTTTTGGGACCTTCTTCTCCTACGAGCTCAGCCTCGCCGGAGATTTTCACCGGCAGAACTTCATTTTTTCTAACTCAAAATTTCTTGGAATAAAAATAGGAATCAATCAAAACACATCAAAAGTATTCCAGATCATAAGAAAAATACAGAAAAACTCAAGAATTGAAATCAAACTTGACACCAAGTTAGAATCACATTTTTCTGGTAGAAGAGGAGAGGTTTTTTGACCCGCGAACCTCCATTGTTAATCTTATCCAGTTCTCTCTATTGTTCTTGCCAGAATTTTTGAGTATTTGAAGAATAAGCCCTATTTTTTTACCGTTCGAGGATTAGTCAAGGATATTCTATCCGTCCAATGACAAATTTCCGTCAATCCCACCTCCATTTCAGATCTTCTCTGGCGGGAAAGAAAAGTTTTTAACCTATAAAAGCAAACTTGAGTCATGGTAGACCCATTTTATATATTTGATCTTAAAAGTCTGTCGAAAAAAGAAAAAGAAAGAAAGGGAAAAAGAGAAAAACAGAAAAAAAAAAAGAAAGGGGGGGGGGGGGTGAGAAGGAGCTATTGTTTGCAGATGAATATGGTTAAAGTGAGGAAAATGCCGGATTAGGGGTGTTAGTCGGCCGGTACGGTGCGGTATTTAAACATTTCGGTTCAGTATTTCGGTATTCGGTTTCTTAAAATCCTATACCAATACCGTACCTAATTAAATTCGGTATAGTTCGGTTTTTGTCTTTTCTGTTTCGATTTATTTGGTTCGGTAACTTAGGTTTATTCGGTTTGAATACTAACTAGTGCATAGAGACATAAACTCTAATATTCTTCATTAAAGTACTCAAAAATATAAAATTGAGAATGTTTGTTGACAAAATTTTTATTAGCAAATATCAACCCAAATAGAAAAAATTGAACATAAAAAGAATATTTGATCATTAGAAATGTCTTGTTACTTGTTTAGAGTTAATTGATAAACTTTGAGAGGAAAGCAAAATTTTAAATTTTTTATATTTATGTTATAATTGATAATATGTGTTTTGTGCAATATAATATATATTCGGTACGGTATCGATATTTCGGTATTTCGTCTTAAAATACCAAATACCATACCTAATACCAATTTAAAAAAACTTAAACCAAATACCATATCAAATACTAAAATACCGTATACCAAATACTAAAATTTTCGATTTCAGTACGGTAATTCGGTATTTACCAAATTATGCCCAGCCCTACGCGGGATGGAAGAAGAAGAAACAAGAAAGAGAAAAAGAAAGAAAGGGAGAAAGAAAAAAGGAAAAAAGAAAAGAAAAAATTAATAAAAAAATGATACTTTTGGGGATTTTTACGCGCGGTCGTCATGTATAAAACACACCAAGCGCCACATTAGCTAAAAAGGGGATATTTATTACATTTCAAATAAAGCCAGGGGATCATATGACCCGTATTTTTAGGGGGTGCAACTGACACTTTGGTACAACCCCAATGGAAATAATTATGTATTATCCCTTTTTTTTTCCTATTACTGTCTTACTTTATTCGCTTCAGTTATATTCTTTTCAATTGATCTTCCATTTTTTCTCGCAATTAACGCTTTTTTCCTTTCAAATTTTGCAGGGGTTATTTATTGCGTGAGAAAATTCTATAGTGAACTTGTGTGGATTCTTTGTGCAGGACGTAATACTTTTACTGGACATTAATAATATCGATTGAACGAGTAAATTGGATGCATATGACTGCACCTACTGTAAAGAAAGCATATAACACTACCTGAAACAAAAAGGTCAGTTAACGAACCCGCGATCACATGAACAGATTATCTTAAAACATAGTCACCCTTCACTACTTTATTTTTCTGTTTAAGCAATCGATATTCAAGGTTTGCTGATCCAATTAATCCATTTTTGACGGATCGGAGAAGTCTTTAAGGAAAAGTAAATTATTCCCTACGCATAAGCCGTAATAGTGAATAGTCCCAAAATACGTAGATGTAGTCTTAGTTAGATCCACATAGAGTTGCCCACTTTAGAGGAGCTTCAGAAGGGCAGCTCTTTTTAGTCCTAGTTCTGTAAAGTCTTAATGACAATAATTTACAGGTTTGGATCTATAATTGCAACTGCCTTTTGGAATCTTAATATACGTCTTTCACGTCAACACAATTGACTACAATGTCGTTATGACAATTTTCATGTATTAGAATGTGTTATAGCAAAAGCAATAGTTTACTCTGCAATCGAGTAATATAACTGACAGAAGGGTGCTTAGTAGAGCGTTGGGGGAAGCTCATATTTTATTTTTAGATAGCAGAATAGGAATGAAAGAGTGAAGACAAATATTTTTCACTTACCTCCAGGATGTGTCGGTTTTTAATTTAGAGAAAAGAAATTATGTGGTTTGTAGCAGTATAAGATTCTACAATATTAATGTATAGAAATGAACAAATACAAGTGGATCTAAGGCACCAGAAACAATGTTTGTGACAAGCGCAAAATACAACACAAAATTATTGCTCGCTAGTTAAAGATAATATAATTTAATTATCGTTTCCACAGGGATTGGATTTAAACAGTGTTGGAATAATCTCCAGTTGATTACTATCCAGGAAAATTAATACTTAATTTGATGACTATTACTACGATTAACTACTAGAATTAAGCATTAACAGTTGATCACAAAAGACAACAGATGAGCAACGAAGAAATATCAATGAGAGAAATAAGGGTAATTGACTAGATAGGTGCAAGATAATTGACTCGGGATCCAATTCTTGAGTTAATCCATTATAATACTGTTAGTTATCACGAATTCAACAGATGATCAGATTACACGTGAAGTTAATGCTCCTCTTTCGATTAAATGTTAAATTCAGTAATTAATCCAATTGAAGCACGGTAAACAATTGCAACAATAAAATGATGGGTATGATCTAAAGGGTAACTTCTCACGAATATTTTCCCATTTTCTAGTTCGATTAATAATTCATGAGGCTCTTTCGATTACCTATTTGAATCACGAATTTAAACTAGAGCATAAGATGTAAAGAAATTCTATATCAAACTCCTCTTTCGATTAAGCAAAATAATAAATAACTCCACAACATAAATTAAAACTCCATCAATTAATTTCAACAGTTATCAAGAATTGTATCCCTAATCAAGTTATCAAAAATAATGTTCCGTCAATCCCTAATGGAATTTACTCCATAGCAATAGAAAAAGTCATCCAATAAGGTTTAAGAACAAAGAAAACATTAATGCTAATGATTCAAGACAAACTCGCATATTGCACCGATTGTAGGTTGAAATCTTGATGAATTTTTGTGTCTTCTGGTCTTGGTTGGTTCTCCAATCTTTCGTAGGTCAAAATTACCCTTTCCAAGCCGAACAGGAATCACTCTAACCCAAAAAGCTGCGTCTCATGCGGCGCGCTTGTGGAGTTTATCAGGGGCCTTGAATTTTGTCTATTAAGACATATTTTCACTGCCGCGCCTCGCGGCGCCCAATGCGGCACGGCTGTGTCTTTTCTCATAGTAAATTGTTTCATCCACTTTTTGACATCCAGACATGGTACTCGCCCCCCGATCACGATCCCGACTTAATTTCTTGGGCTTTTACTCAGACTTCAAAGCTCCAAATTGATCGTTTCAGCTCCATATTAACGTTTTAACTCGGAATCACTTTCTGCAAGGCATAACACACGTAATAAGTGTAATTCACTATTATTTAAGCTCAAACACACGTAAAATGCGGTAATTAGAGTGCAAACTATGGCTAAAATACGAGTTTCTAGCCTACCATCAACACCGCACACTTAGACTATTGCTTGTCCTCGAGCAATCAAACTACACTTCACATAGGAACGATATTTTCATCAAACAACTTCACTAATACATCATGACAAGAATATTTAAAATAGACTAAGAACTATGTAATAACATCCTAGCCTCAAGACTCGACTCAAGAGCACCACACATTTTTCACAACCTGCTCACTTACTCTAACACAGAGGTCAAAGACTTTACCTTACCTTCACAAATCATGTGCCCTTACACAAGCAATAGAAAGTAGTTCCTCACATAATAAAATTTACGTACAAATAAAAACTCAAGATAGAAAGAATTCACTCACTTTTAGAATTAAAATTCATGCGCCACAGAAAACAAACCATAGGCTTGCCCGTAGTGTAATACTCTACTAATTGAGCTCATTCAGTCGAGGATCAAGTAGGACTTTATTTTGGTTCTAATGTAGGCTGCGGAACGGATATGATACATATGGATATAGTGGCTACACCTCCCTGAGCACTTTAATACATATACATTAACAATTCAAATCCCACATTTGTGTTGAACCAAACCCCAACCTTCACAACATAATAACCGCAAGCTCCCAATTTCTTTAAGCACAGACAAAGCAAGAGTTACCACTAGCAAGGAGTAATTTTCTTTATAATATATACAAACACCAACATTTTTTTTCTTTCTCTTTTTTTTTTCAATTTCCTACAAGTGGCTCTCGCAATTTTTTCAAATAAGGCACTTTTATCCTTTTCTATAGTTCCACTAAAAAAAACCCAACCATACCTCCACTTAGCTTTTAACAAGCTCATAAATATATCAAGTTCTCAAGAGAGGTAAACAATTCAAACAGATAGTCAATTCAAATAAAGGGTCAGACTT